TGCGCTGCCCTGTCCAGCCTTGGGTACATGGTCATGAGGTCAGTCTGCTGCCCTATCCCAGCCTTGGGCACGTGGTTGTGAGGTTATTGTGCTGCCCTGTCCAGCCTTGGGTGTGTGGTCACGAGGTCAGTGTGCTGCCCTGTCCAGCCTCGGGCATGTGGTCATGAGGCCAGTGTGCGTCAGAACCGTTGGTGGGATGAACCAGGTATTGCCCACAGACGGCCAGGCAACTGTCAGCTATTGCAGGGAAACAGCTTTTGTAAAGGGAAAAAGGGACATAATAAGATGGCCAGCAAGGAACAGAAAGGAAAATATGTGGCCTACTTCACAGACCGAGTAACACGTGGGTCTCCAGTTTCCTACCACATTTCCACAGATGTGGAGTCTGACATGAACACAGTGTGCACAGGTGGCTTTCAGTCACTCTGAGGAACCTCGGCGAGCGGTCTGGTATCTTTTTTGTAACCACTGAACAACACTGCCAGCCCGTTTTATCTTTTATTCTTTGACGGGTCTCACTGAGTTGCTGAGGCTGGCCTGTAACTTGCAGTCCTCCTGCCTTGGCCTCCCACATTGGGATGGGATTATAGGCTTGTACCACCATGCCCAGTCAGATTTTTCTTTATTCCTAGGAAGACAGAATAAAGCCTGCCCACCATGAAGGCCCAGGGTCAGGGGGTCACTGCTTTTACTCAGTGCCAAAAGAAATTCTGAACTGTCTTAGAGGAGCAGGGCATTTAGATTCCATCCCAAACTTACCAAATCAGTAAGTTGTTCAGGGAAGAGAAGTAGATCCCTCTGTTAGTATAGTGGTAGATGCCAAACTAGGCCTTCAGGGCATCTGGAGCAGGTTTCTCTGTCCAGAACTGAGTCACCAGGCCTCAGAGGAGCGACAAAGCAGTGCCGGCCACTGTCAGCCTCGGCTCTGTTCCCTGCTGATGCTTCCTTGCTTTTATTGGTTAAACTTGACATCATGCTAACATAAGCTGAGTGTAGTGACCATGAGATTGTATAAGCTTTGAGGAGTCTTAGGGTTTTGAATTACAGCTGTGTTCCTGTATAAAAAGGCGACAGATAGGAAGACAGATGGTAGACGGATGAATGACGGGATGCATCTCAGGGGTACAGTGCTTCTGTAGCATGCCTGAGGCTCTGGGTTTGATCCCTAGCACTGGAAAAGAACAGTGATATGAGGGAAATTTAGATACATATATGTGTGTGACATATGGGATATATCAACACATGCATGTATCATATGACGCACATACACGTAGTCACATAGTCCTTGAAATGGTCACCAAGTGGCTGTGTACACGGAACTGTTTCCTTTACCTGCATTCACACATTCAGCAGGAGCTCATGGAGCATCTGCTATGTTGCAGAAGGACAGGGATAAGTGATGAGCCAGTAGGCCCCGTGCTGAGGGAAGGAAGGGCTGTTGCAGAGCGAGGACACCTACAGAGCCACATGGGTGCAGTCGTGGTGGGGAGGACTTGGTGGCTGAGAGAATCTGAAACACACAGGGTCTCACGTGTACTGGCCTCATGCTATACCACTGAGCTTCAGCCCAAGCCCAGGCTCCTGAAATATTTTAACACATAGGACAAAATTAAATTTTGTATTTTCTCCTTTTTTTTTAATGTCTTTAGATTTAGCAAATGATTCATTCTTTCCCAATGAAATCGGATCTCATATCCTACCTGTGTATCTGAAGATTAAATACCTATATGGGTTCAAAAAGGGAAATAAAAGTTCCAAATTATAGCATATATTTCCTAACATGTTACAATGAAAATAATTAACTGGTTTGACTCACAGCTTTCTGGAAACGTTGGCAGTCTAACAGAACATTACTTCTCTTCACTGAGAAAGATCTGCTTGGCTAGGGGTGCCGGGAGCCACAGCCACGGCTAGTCCAGTGGTTTGAACTGCACTTTCATCCCCCATATTAGATCCTGCAGGTTCTTAGGAGCAATCTTAACTGTCATAGGCCTGAAGTCTCTTTTGACAGTAATCACCAAATAACCTTCCCTTTGTTCGTTGCACGCGCGCGCGCGCGCACACACACACACACACACACACACACCAGTGTAAGACAAGCTTAAGGCTGTCACCCCCAGCGGGGGGCAGAGAATGGGAAACACATGGAGATGCGTTAGACACAGATGTGGGTGAGGCCTCAGGGGTTCCTAAGACTCTGACCTGAAGAACCCATGGAAGGGGTGCCATGGCTAAGTGGAGATGAGGAGATTTGGGGGCAAGGACTGAGTTCAGTCACCCCGAGGAGATGCGAAGGGTCTTGTGTCACAGATTATCCAGGGCCAAGGAGATGGAGAGCTCAGGAAAACCTGCTCCAGATCCTGCTGGCAAGGTGGGGCCCCTGGGGGCGGGAACCAGAGGCAGGGCTTGGCTACTTCCCCAGAAGGGCATGGACAGCAGGGGCCAAGGTGACAGCAGGGGCCAAGGTCCTCCAGGTCTGTCAGCCCAGTCTCTGACTGGCTTCTGAACTCTGCCAAGGTCCTCCAGGTCTGTCAGCCCCGTCTCTGACTGGCTTCTGAACTCTGCCCCTTTCTTTGTACATTGTCCAGCCAGGGTGGGGCCCCAGAATTCCATGAGCAGCTTCAGGTGGTGGCACCTTCTTTTAGCAGCTACACTGCAGTGAACATTGACCCTGCAGTCCCTGCAGTCCACACAACCCTCCTTCTTCTCAACACGACAGCTGCTGAGTCGCCTCCCTTCTTTTAGGCCAAGTGAGCATCCTCTGTTTTTCCTAACCTACCTGGAACAGATGCCCCATTGTTTTGTGCCCGGTCCCCACACATCCACGGAACCTGGTTTCTGCCACATAACCAGATGTGTGGTCTCGGACAAATGCCTTTGGGCTCTGTGCTTCCCTTCCCTGATCTGCAGGCTGGCAATGTTACCAGTATCCACCTCACAGGGGCTGCGAGTTAAGTCGTGGAAAGCACCTAGAACAATACCTGGCACATAGTCCTTAATAAATGGTAGTTGTCACAATCATCATCATCTCTCATGATTATATTCCAAACCATCTCACCTAATTAGAATTTGTTATTAAGAAGGTACGCATGGTGAACACCGGTAAATCCAGCTACTCAGGAGGCTGAGGTGGGAAGATTGCAAGTTTGAGGCCAGGCTGGGCAACTTAGTAAGACTCTATCTCAAAATAAAAAAATAAAAAGGGCTAGGGATGTAGCTCAGTGGTAGAGTGCCTCTAGGTTCAATCTCCAGTACCAAAAAAGAAAAGAAAACCCTACAAAACATGTATGTTAAACTGTTTTTGCAAACTGAAAGAAGAGCCAAGGAGCTGAAAGGAGGAGAGGGTGAGCAGAGGAGGGGCCCTCCACGCTCCATCCCCACTTCAGAGAGATTTCTTCCCTCTTACTCATTTCTATATCACATTTCTAGAAGTTTTCTCTGGAGAAAGAGTTCTGCTTTGAGGCAGGGGAATCTGTTAAGCTGCTAATTAGGGTCATGTCCCAGCCCCTCTCTGAGACAGCTGGATTCAGAAAAGCCTTACTGCATACAGTGCCTGGGGTGCTCTGAGCACTTGCAGTAGTCCACATGCCATCAAAATGAGAATATTCTTTGCATCCAAGTAGCTCATGTATAATTGTTGTGAGCCAGGCATATGCCCTGTGCTGTGGTATCCACACAGAATACAGTAGCAGCACTCAGGGGACATGAGGGAGTCCTGGGAAGGCTTCATGGAGGAGGTGGCAAAGTGGTGGACAGAAAACCCAGGACATGGGGAAGAGCAACATGTCTCATCCTCTGCCTTGGTCCAGTGACTCAACCGACTAGCAGCTTCCATGCTTCCACCTGGTTTGACTGGCATCGGGCAGCAAAAGAAAGGAGCCAGGATGCCCCAAAGGAGTGTAACCTGCATGCCTGGGTCTGGAGCAAGAGATATCATCAGAGCTGTGCTTCAAGGGGATGCACCTGGCACTGGCACCCCTTGAACTGACTGGGAAACTAGCCCAAGAAGCCCCAGAGATATGTAGACTCTAGAGGAAATGACTTGTAAACAGGATCCTCTGAGTATTCCCTGCAGCCTAGGTCATCCGGACAGGTTGGACGTCCCTTGCCTTTCGTTCTTGCTACGTGGGAGGGGCTTTTCTAATGGGAAAAGTCACGGTGCGCACTGCTGCCATCCAGAAGCTGCATTTACTGTTAAAGGGTAAGATACCCAGTGACAGCTGTGACGCATGCCCGTGTGCGGGGTTCCGGACCTCGCCGTCCTCTGCCTGTCAACCTGGAATGTGACTGAAGTTCCTTGGGTATTTATAAAACATCAAAAAGACAGCAGAACCCAGGTCTTCTTATTCCTCAGCCACGGGCCGACCTGGGGTGATGGTTGCTGAAGTCGGCGGCGCCTAGGTTTTGAGGTTTCCCACCCGCCGCGCTCTGCAGCTCAAACCGTGGGTCAGCGCGGACCCTGCCTTCATCCACGGTCTCAGGTTCCCCTGAGAAAGCGGAGCTGCCCGCGTCAATCAGCGCCCACGTCAATCAGAGAGCTCCCACCGGCAGACCTCGCCGGTCTCCTGCGGGTCTCCAGCCCCGGCCAGACCCTCTGCCGAAGCCCGGCAGGCCTGGCGCCTGACTGCGTTGACGTGCAGGTCCGAGCGTAGCCGCTTACGTCAGAGGACGTACTCCTACGCCAGCGCCTGCGAGCGCCGCTCCGGTGAAGTTGGAAACCGGCTAACGCTTCTCAAGCCGCGAGGAGCCAGCGCTCGGGTCAGTAAATCGGCGACCCGCACAGCGCGGGCGTCGGCGGTCCAGCCAGCTCCGCCCGAGGCGCCGTGCGTCACGCAGACCCCTCCCCCGGCGCCCTCCGACCCGTAACCCCGCCCTTCCTCTCCGCGCCCCGCGCCACGCAGGACACGCCCCTGGCTCCCTCGGCTCGCAGTCCCGGTCCCGCAGGCCCCGCCCCGGCGCCTAGTTCTGACGTCACCGTCTGCGTCGCGCGCGGTGGAAGCAGGAAGTAGGACCAAAACAAAGGAGCGGCTGCCGGGAGCGGACCTGCCTCTCCTCGCCTCGCTTCCGCGCAAGTCCAGGCCCTGGCCGCCGACCCCGAGGCTGCGTCCCGCCATGTCCAACATGGAGAAGCACCTGTTCAACCTGAAGTTCGCCGCCAAAGAACTGAGCAGGAGTGCCAAGAAGTGCGATAAGGAGGAGAAGGCCGAAAAGGCCAAGATCAAGAAGGCCATCCAGAAGGGCAACATGGAAGTGGCCCGGATCCACGCCGAGAACGCCATCCGCCAGAAGAACCAGGCCGTGAACTTCCTGAGGATGAGCGCGCGCGTGGACGCCGTGGCCGCCCGCGTGCAGACGGCCGTGACCATGGGCAAGGTGACCAAGTCGATGGCCGGCGTGGTCAAGTCGATGGACGCCACGCTGAAGACCATGAACCTGGAGAAGATCTCCGCGCTGATGGACAAGTTCGAGCACCAGTTCGAGACCCTGGACGTCCAGACGCAGCAGATGGAGGACACGATGAGCAGCACGACGACGCTGACCACTCCCCAGAACCAGGTGGACCTGCTGCTCCAGGAGATGGCAGACGAGGCGGGCCTCGACCTCAACATGGAGCTGCCGCAGGGCCAGACCGGCTCCGTGGGCACCAGCGTGGCCTCGGCCGAGCAGGACGAGCTGTCGCAGAGACTCGCCCGCCTGCGCGACCAGGTGTGACGGGCCGGAGGCTGCCGCAGGACGCCCGCGGACAGGCCCGCGAGGCCGCCTCCGCCCTGCAGCTGCCGCTCGTGGTGACGTGTATTTTTATAGCCGCCTTTTAACAGAACTGGTTGAGTGGTGGGCGTGGATCTCGGCCCCTCGGTGACGCTGCCCACCGAGGAGGGTCCCATCCGAGGCCAAGTGTGTGTGTGCGTGTGTCGCGTGTTTGGTGGCACACCGAGTGACAGGTGGTCCGTGAGAATTAAGGAAGGGGATGATTATTTTGATTACACAGCTATAAACACTTCGTTCAGTCGGCAGTGCTGTTTCTGTATAGCCTTTCTTTCGATTTTGATTTGTTTGGTTTTTGCCATCAAAGCAAGACTACAATTGACTATTTGTTCTCATAACTTACTCTAAAATTATCTTAGATCTTAAAATAATATTCTCTTGCTGTTTACATTCTATAAATTTTCATGTGATAATGGAGTTTGTGTAACTGGAGAAAATGCCACAAAAGTTAATTTATTGGGAAAAATAAATTTGTTCATTTATATTTTCTATTTACAGAGAGTTTTTTAAAGGACTTAGATGTAATGTTTGACAGTTTCCTAGTTATTTCACGATGTCATCACTTTAATCAGACTTCTCCTTAAAGTATGTTAATTAGCATGATAGTCATTTTACACACCTAACATTGCCAAAGAACAGCTGATCGGTCTGGGGAAACCTTGGGACTGTATGTTTATAGGTTTCATTTTTATTTTAACAACCAAAAATGAAATAAAATTAGTTCTAATTATTTTAAGTTCTAATTATTTTCACTTGTTATTTGTCTTAAAGTAACAACTTTAAAAACCTTAAAAATACAAGTTGTAATGTTTGACTTAGCCATGCAAACAAGGCATGTTCCTCCGGCCAGCTGGAAGTGTGGGAAGGGGAGCCAGCTAGGGCTGGGGGTCTGAACGGCATGCGGGGCTGGATCATTTCCCAAGGCTGTGTGTCTGGCTGAAGAGCAAAGCAGGCCTTCTCCACTCTGCTTGGCCTCAGAACAGGGAGAATTGCACTTATTTTGCTTGGCAATTAAATTAAACTAAGTTAAATACTTGTAAGTTTTTAAAATTCTCCTTTATTCACCGGAAGATTTCTCCCTAAGAGAATTCTGGTATTTCTGAAAATAGGGACTTTTCCAAGCTCTTTGAAAGATTCACCACCAAGTACGCATAGATAACATGTTTTCCAGTGTGAATGAATGTTTAAGGAAAAAAGAAGCGTATGCAGATGAGGACTGACCTTCATAGTAAGTTTTTTAAAGTATATTTGACGGGGTGTTGTTCAGAAGTCTGCTCTACGGGACACTTGTCGATTGCCCAGAGTCTTCTGTCACAGGCCTTTAGCAGATCAGGTGTCCTCTCATCACTTGGTTTCCCAAAGGCTGCCTGGTGTGAGTACAGCATGTGTCTTAAACCCTCTTTGGACTGGAAAATTATAATTAGAACTCAAAAAATAGCTTAGTGTTGAATTCTTTGGTATGTTGAAGACACTTTTGTAGTGCAGATATTCCCATTAAAATATATTTTGTGAGATTAAACAATTCTTGTATATGCTTGAACTTTCTTAAAATATGTTCATTTCATACTATATGAATGTACATTTTTTATGAATCAAATATTATTTTCAAAAGCACCACTACAGGCCCATGAATTATTTCCTCACTTTTGGAGTTGATGCAATGATAAGATGTAAATCACAGAAATTTTGTTAAATAAATTGTTTTAAACTGCATGTTATTGCATATGAGTATGGGTCCTATTTAAAAAGTTGCTTATGTGCTGGGATGTAGCTCAGAGTAGGGCTGTGCTTAGCATGCATTCAGTCCCCAGCACCACAAAAAAAAAAGAAAGAAAAAGAATCCAGAGGTAGATTTGGCTCAGAAAGCCTGGTGTTTGTCCAGACCCGACCCCCCCGACCGCCAACCTGGTCTTCCCACCTGAGCTCCTCACCCCATCTTCCCACCTGAGCTCCTGTGTGGTCAACATGGCATTATCTTGCACGTTTCTCGGAGCCTTGTCTATCCCTTCTTTACAGTAATTGTCTCCTCCTGGCAACAAGATCTTCTGTTGAAATGTCTCTAGACCAAAGACAAGTAGCCTATGACTGGGTCCAATTTAAACACACCAGGGAAAGCAGTTCATGCAACTACTAACATTACTTTTAGTCTTATTTTCTTGCTTTCAAATGAAGTTTCTAACCTGAGGTTTGAATTATTGAGGAAAGCCAGGTGTGGCGGCCACACCTGTAACCCCAGCAACTCTGGAGGCTGGTGCTGAGTCAAGACCAGCCTGGCAACTTAGCAACACCTGTTTCAAAAATAAATAAGAAGGGCTGTGAACGTAGCTTGGTGGTAAAGCACCCCTGGATTCAATTTCCTAAAAAAAAGAATGAGGAGAGACATAGAGGTAAACAGGTACACAAACTTAACTTTTCTCCAATTTTGATTTATTTGAATACAGCAACTCAGATGTGTCTGCCAAGACCTTTCTAACTAAAACTATTTTCCCAACAGAGCAAGCCTCAGGCCACCCTGTGTGCCTTTCAACAGGACCTACCACAAGGCCTGCACACTGTCCATTTGACAGTCTTGTTTACTGCCCGTGGTACCAGGGTCAGCTCGTCCCACTAAGAGCTGAAGTGAGGGGTTCCGTTCATCTGCAGTACACAAGCACCACCTGGAGGGTGTTTCTGTAGCCAAAACCCAAGTTCGAATCTTTAGTACTATTAACAAAAGTTACAAGCCAGGGACGTTGAACAAACTGATGAACAGGCCTCTGTAATGTTTGTAAACAACTAACTGATTTTAATCCATTAGCAAATGCCTGCCTGGTTTCCCGAAATCCACCTTTGCACAGCTAGATGTCATTCCATGGGAAGCAGGACCACACAGGGTCTGCTCTGGCCTGGCACCTGATACCGTGAGCTCCTGGTGCACCAGGGCAAGTGTGCCTCCCTGGGGCGCTCTCTTGACAGTGCCGGGAGCTCCCTGATGGCAACAGTGGATGCAGGGAACAGCCATGGTGAGCACAGGCAGAGCCCCGGGTGTGGGTGCCGGAAGCCCTGTGTCTTGCCCTTCACGGCACTGGTCCAGATGGAAATGTTTGTCCCTGCTCCTTGGGGCTGGCAGTCTGTCTCTTACCAGAACAGTGTCAAGACAAACAGGTCAGCGGTGTTTATTCAGAATGATGGGACATGGTGAAAGACCATACCAAAATGTATCAGGCACCAGCTACAGGACACTTCTCTCTAGAGATTAAAAAACTTAGTGTCTGCCCTTAAGCATCACTAATACTAGATGAGACATGCACATAAAAGGAAATATGGACATGGGTGTGAAAAAGATCAAACTGAACACTTAAGATTGGTGTAGGGGGGCTGGGGCTCAGTGGTAGAGCACTTACCGTGCCTGCACGAGGCACTGGGTGTGATCCCTGGCACCACATAAAAAATAAACAAATAAAATAAAGGTATTGTATCCATCTACAACTAAATATATATATACATATATATACATATATATATATATGTATATATATATATATATTTTTTTTTTTTTTTTTTAAAGATTGGTGCAAGGTGGGCAGTGGCACAAACCAGTAACCCCAGCTATTCTGGAGGCTGAGGCAGGGGGATCACTTGAGCCTGGGAGTTCTATACCAGCCTGGACAATATAGGAATGTTTTGCAATTTTTGGTTTGGTTTGGTTTGGTTTTGCGTTTTGGGTCTTTAAAGGGAAAAAAAAAAAAAAAGATGAGTGTAGCTCACATGCTTCATGTGTCTCCTATCGCCACTTCTAAGAAGGGGGTGAATCACAATGAAAGACCGTGCACTCTGCTAAACAGAGCATGCCTCAGTGCCAGGTGGAGAGAGTTCCATGGGGATGTAATCTGAGGTTTCAAAGGGAAAAGGAGAAAAAGGTACATTGTCTACATTCTCAACAACACAGGTGACTTTTGGGGGGAGGGTGTGGTTACTGAAGATTGAACTCAGGGGTCCTCTACCACTGAGCTCCACACACAGCTTTTTTCTTTATTGTGAGACGGGGTCTCACTAAGTTTCACAGGCTGGCCTCCATCTTGCAATCCTCCTGCCCCAGCCTCCTGAGCTGCTGGACTGCACGTGCGCACCTCCATTCCTGCAGAAGTGACTTTTCACAGTTTGATGATGTTTTGAAGCTCTGTATGTAGTATGTAGTCAAAGGTTTGCAAGGGGAATTCTTAGATTTCCTTAATTTTTCTTCATAGATTGCAGTGGCATTTTTAAGGAGACAATGTTATAACCCTTTCAAATGTGGTCATGTGCAAGACTATGTGACTACAAGTCCCCTTTGTAGCTCACCTCTGTATGTAACCTCAGGAGCCCCCAGTGAGGTCGTTCTGTGGCAGGCCTGGACCTGGGCCAGGCAGCCGAGCTGGAGGCAGCGCAATGCCTGCCCTGGAGGTGGGGGGAGACCCACCAGCATCTCGGGACAGTGGCTCAGCACGGTTCTCCCACCACTTCCTCTGGAAGGCAGTGTTTAATTGCGTTCCTCCAGAACCTCAGGTGTGCTTTTTGTCAACTTCTTTCACTGTTTCTGCTCATACAGGTTATTACCATCTGAATACATTCTCCGGGCGCCTCCGCCCCAGTGCATCCATTTTAAGTCAATTGCTTCCTACACCCTGCATCCTGGGTGCCAGGTTTAATTTCGGCCTTGCTCCCTTCTCCAGGGAGCTGATTCGAGTCTGCCTGGAATGCTCAGCACCAGGTGCCAGTATCATGTCAGCAGGGCCGTCTGGGTCAATGCTGACAGCACGGGGGCCTGGGGAGCAGCCAGCTGTCAGCCCCAGGCCTGAGCGCCCACCACGGGCAGGGACTTCTCCCACTTGCAGATTCTGTTCACGTTCCCTCCTGGTGGGGGGGGCGGGACTCGGGGCGTCCTGCCCTCGTGCTTTCTACCACGGCCACCTTGGAGGCCAGCGCCACTGAGCCAACCTCCTCTCTTGTTCTCAAACCTGCCTCAACTGGGGCAGACCCTCCCTCCTCCAGCCAGGGAGGCAGTGGCAGCTACAAGGATCCACACTACCCATTCCCAAGAGGCCACCAGCTTCTCACTGCCCTGTCACCTGGATCCTAGCTCTGCAGTGTCTCTACGGGCACAATTTAACTCCACTCCCACACACGGCTTTGGTCATCTCTCAACTTCCATGTTTTATTTACATCACAATGACTTCTACTGTCTTCTCTTTGGAAAGGAGGCCCCCCATTTCCTCATTTTCCAAGTTGGCCCTTTCCCCAACCCTGTAGGACTGGGGAAGAAGAAAGAGGGAAGGTAGAGGTTAAAATGAAGAAAGAGAAAAGACAGGCATGGTGGTGCACACCTGTAATCAGCTGTTCGGGAGGCTGAAGTGGGAGGACCGAAAGTTCAAGGTCAGCCTCAGCAATTTAGGAAGACCTTTCTCAAAATTTCAAGAATTTTAGCTCAGGGGCAGAGTGCTTGCCCCTGCCTGTGGGAAGCCAGGTTCGATCCCCAACACATGCGCACGTGCGCGCGCGCGCGCGCGCGCACACACACACACACACACACACACACACCAGAATCAGGCCTTTGCTCTTCATCAGGACAGTAGCATTATCCAGTCGGATGCATTCAGGAAGGAAGGTGGACGGTGACCTCAGCTCTCAGCCCGCCCTCGTCCTCGTGTGCTTTTGTTATGCTCGAATTCGGGACCCCCAAAAGACCACCAGAGACCCAAGATCAATGTAAGCAGCAAAGAGGTGTTTATTGCGAGCTAGCTCTGTCCTCCGCCTGCACACAGCAACTGGTGACGCTGAGAGGCCCCGAGCCCAGGGTTTGCAGCAGTTTTATACACTCTTTGGAGAAGGCAGGGACCCCCCACATACATCATAGCATCTCTTAGCAAATCATCACACACCGCGGGAAAATCAAATAACAACTCTAAAACATGATTAGCACATTCACTGGTGGGAACAAGTTGGGTAGGGGTGATTGGTCAGTACAAAAGGGGTATTCGTTTGAACTGATTGGTTTGAGCCAAGAGGGGTGTACGTGCTGAACTACATGGTTTCCCAACTTGTTACCAACCACCATAAACCACTGGGAGGGTCATCTGGCATCCCAGGTATTTCCCTGTCTCATGCTGATTGGTGGCTGCTATGGATCCCCACCTAGCCTGACTGAGTCAGGGACACCTGGGGCAGCAGATCTCTCCTGTTATTTGTAGATAAACAACTTAGCAGGGTGGGAATGTGCCTAGGAGTGCTCTGTGGGTCTTTCCAAGGACAAAGGTCATGTCCCTTCCTTGGACAGGCTTTGCTCTGAGGTAGAGGCTGGTTTTTCACTTTGTTCTGCACTGACCATGCGTCCCCAACCCAGGGGACAGGCATCAGAACCTGCCGCTGAGCGTACATGGCTTTTCTTGCAGCTTCTTGGAGAGAATCGACAGTGTCAGCCTGGTGGACTACACTCCCACTGACCAGGTAGGCAAGCAGCACCCTGTGCAAGCCTGCGGCCAACTTCCCAAAGACTCAGTGACCGTTTTAAAACAGGTTAAGAAAAAAATCCTTCAGATGCCTGCTGCGTGCTCACTGTGCATGCCAGTGTCCTCAGCCCGTCACCAAGCCTGAGCCCCTGCTCCCGGGCCTGGAAAGAAGCCCAGGCAGCAGGAAAGCCAGGCTTCAACTCCCCTTTGTGGACGGGGGCTCTCTGCTTTGGGTCCAGCGGGGTCCCATAGGACAGTGCAGGTGTGCCCGACGGTCTCCCTTGGATTGAGCAAACTTGAGCACGTCTGTAGGCACACAGAGGCCTCAGGCATGTGCAGAGACGGGTGCCCAGGTGGCTCACTTCCACAGTCACCAGGCCTTCCAGAGGATAGGAGGGGCTCCATTCAGGCCCCCCCAGAGCTGCATCCCGGGGTCCTGAGCCTTGGGCCCCTGGAGGCTCCCTCCTCTCCCCTCCCTGGAAGCCTGAGGTCCCTCTCTCTCTGAAGCCAATTCCAACAGCTTAAAATGATCTGACAGCCTTCTGGGCTTCCTAGCCTCAGGCGGATCCCTTAGGCCTGTCCTAAACACTCCTCCTTGTGTAAAATGGCAGGACCACCTTTCTCGGTCCAGAATGGCAGCACAGTGACCGCTTCATCAACATCACAAAGGTGGAGCTTAAGAGAAGACCCTGAGGTTGCCTGAGAAGCAGAGACGTCCCCTTAGTGAAACCCCCTGGCTTTCCAACCCCTGAGGACCATGTCATCTTAGATCTTAGAGAATAGAGATATTCAAGGAAGGGAGCAAATTCATAATCGATTCTAGTCTTATGGTCCCTGGTTTGTGAATGCAGAGTTACTTTCTCTCCGAAAGTATTCTTCACCCAGAGCTGAACAGGAGCAGAGGTGCTCTCCCCAGAGGCGAGCGCTGTGACTCAGTTGTCAGGGGCAAAGCAGTCGCAAGATGTTCACAGGGAACGTTTTTTGAAAAAAGAGGAGGCTGAGGCAGGAGGATGGCGAGTTCAAATCCAGCCTCAGTGAAAGCGAGGCGCTAAGCAACTCAGTGAGACCCTGTCTCTAAATAAAATACAAAATAGGGCTGGGATGTGGCTCAGTGGTTGAGTGCCCCTGAGTTCAATCCCCAGTACCAAAAACAAAAACAAAAACAAAACAGAAAAGAAAAGCACAGTTCTCAAGTCTTTGGGACCAAATCTATACATTCACTGTAGATTTTTCCCTGGAGGATAAGACAGAGCGTTCATCTGAGTCTTTAGCTATTACTGCTTTTTTACAGTAGAAGTTGTCCTTTGAAAGTGTCAGTCACCATGGTTACAGCAGGGCAGGGCTGAGCTGGCTTCTCTCTCCTTGCTCCCAGGACCTGCTCAGGTGCAGGGTGCTGACATCGGGAATTTTCGAGACACGATTCCAAGTGGACAAAGTGAATTTTCAGTGAGTATGTTGTTCAGAGGGGAGCCTCAGGTGGGATGGAGGGCGGGGTCCCAGGACCCAGCCCTCGGGCTGGAGGGGCCTGAAGGAGACTGATCCTTTCAGGTGAGGCTGTTGGGTGAAATCTGATCTCAAGCAAGGGTTGAAATCTTGCATTTTACCACCCACTTTCAAGTAGTAGTATTATGAAGTGTTCCCCTAAAGGAAAGGGACATTTCACCCTGGTCGCAGGTTTGACTGGCCCTTGGATTAAATCAGGAGTTTGAGAACTGAAGCCAGCAACCTCTTTTGTACCACCCCCTGAGGAGCACTTCCCCCTGTCCCCCCGACTGGGAGGACACTTTCTGCTGTCCATCCTGCTGAGGGGCTCTTCCCCCTGTCCTCCCCACTGCGGGGGGCTCTTCCCCCTGTCCACTCCCCTGAAGGGCACTTCTCCCTGTCCACTCTTCCCCCTGTCTGCCCTCCTGGGGTGGGGGGGCTCTTCCCCCTGTCCATTCCCCTGAAGGGCACTTCCCCCTGTCCACCCCCACTGGGGGCTCTTCCCCCTGTCCACACCCCTGGGGGGGCTCTTCCGGCTGTCCATGCACAAACTTCATTGAATGAACCTATTTCTTTGTTTTCCTCCCTTGAGACCCTCAGTTGATTCTCCATCCACAAAGCCCTTTGCACTGCCCATCCTAATCCCCCCATATTTCCCACCCAGACCATCCGGATAGGCCTGGCCAGTCTTCTGCCTCACCAGGTTGTACCAGGTCACTGTCCTCAAAGTTCACCCAGCTCCCCTGCCACAGTGCCTTTGCTCACCCTGTCCTCCAAGCCCTGGATGCTGCCTGGCTAAGCAAACCCTACAGAGCCGTCAAAGCAGCCTTCAAATCCCAGCGCACTGGCTCCTTGGGGCTTCTGCTACATCTGCTGTGCAGCTCAGCACTTGAGAACATGCTCCTGTCCCCTGCCCACGTCACCTCCGTGGCGAGTCAGTAGTGAGGGCCCTGAGCGGGACTCCCACGATGCCCAGAACTTTCCACGGGCAGGCATGTGTACTTCCTCTGCGTTTCTTGAGAACCCAGCAGGACATGGTCAGGCCGTGTGGCCTGGATAAAGCCCGGCTAGGTCCACGCTGTGGTCAGAGCTGTACAGTTATGGAGTGACCCACACCACAGCAGGTCCCGGGCATGGGGACTTACTAACAAGGAGACGTCCCACTGCAGCAGGGTTTGCTGAACAGTGTTCTGCTCTGCGGCTTGGCTGCTCATCAAGCACCTTGGCACGTGCTAAGGCAAAGCAGGTTAAAATCTGTAGGATGGCTGATGAGCCTGCCGGGCCAGCTGGTACAGACTGCGTGGTCCCAAAGCCCAAGTCTGGCTTAGCCAGGAGCCTGGGGGGTGTGGAGGAGGGGTGCTGCAGGAGAGATGCTGGGGAGGGACGGATGCTACCTGGAGAGCTGCAGGGGAGGCCCCCAAGGGAGACCTGGGCGGCCCAGGGATCTGGACTGATGCAGGAGGGGACCAGACCCACTGCAGGCCCAGGAAGAGGCCTGCAGTGTCCCAGAGGGACATAGACACAGCTGGGAGGGCAGGGAGCCTTTCTCCCTTGTCCAGGGGAGGAGAGATACCATGTCTGAGAGCCAGGACAGGTCACCTGAGCTGCCCTGGGTGGGCACTTGGCACGTACTCAGAGAGGCCCCAAAGTCTGCGCAGGATGTGGTGTGAACTAGAAACCACTGCATTTATAAGGCACCTACTGTGTGCCCCTGCAGACTGCAGGCTGCTGCCTGTCTGAGCCCTCCCTGAGCCTCCACTGTACAGGGCCACAGAGGAGGGACAGAGCTGGCAGCCCCACGCGTGGCCCTGATGAGGCAGATGCAGCGTTGTGAACGGGGACATTCTGACAGCAGAGGCGGAAGGTGGTCACACCCGGGTTCCTGCTGCCCCAACAGTCTCCCCTTGCTCCCCACAGCATGTTCGACGTCGGTGGCCAGAGGGACGAGAGAAGGAAATGGATCCAGTGTTTCAACGGTGATTTTCACGCACCCTCAGGACCCGGTAGAGGGCCAGCTCAGCAAGCCCCGTGTGACTGCTGTTGAGTGGGATATCCTCCCCTACCTAGGATGCAAACTACTGCTTTTTTTTTTTTTTTTTTGGTACCAGGGATTGAACTCAGGGGCACTCAACCACTGAGCCCCATCCCCAGCCCTCTTTTATATTTTATTTACAGACAGGGCCTCACTGAGTTGCTTAGGGCCTCCCTAAGTTGCTGAGGCTGGCTTTGAACTTGCCATCCTCCTGCCTCAGCCTCCAGAGCCTCTGGGGCAGGCGGGCACCAATGTGCCCAGCCAAACTGCAGCATTTTTTTATCAGATCATTGTGCTTCTTCTTGAAACACAAATCTCACAAAGAACTTAAGCATCCCAAAGTGACCTCTCTTTGGGGCAACCCGTGAGGTGTGCACTGACACCAGACACACCACGCCTGCAGTGGTCAGTGGACGGCCGTGCCCCTGGCCTGAGCTGCTACCAGGCGCGTGCTTGACCCTGACCCCACGGCCACTGCCTCTGTCTGACCACAGGCTTCCCTTTCCTCTGTTCCCCATGTAGACGTCACGGCCATCATCTACGTGGCGGCCTGCAGCAGCTACAACATGGTGATCCGGGAGGACAACAACACCAACCGGCTCCGAGAGTCCCTGGACCTGTTTGAAAGCATCTGGAACAACAGGTCACGCGGGGGCCACGCAGTCTCACACGGGACTGCATGTCTTCTCTTATGAAGAATGCGTTCATGTTTGTTCCCCCAGAAACATACTCTGTCCTCACTGATGGACCCTGAGCCATCATAAGAAGGGCCTCCCTCACCCACCTAGTGTGTGGACGATGAGGGAAGTGCTGTAATGAAATAGAATGTGCTTTGTCAAGACATTTTTCAGACCTGTTTTGAAATCCTGAGATTACATCTGGGGTTTAAAATTGATCTTGTTCTATGCTTAAATTTTAGGAATCCAGCTTAGAACATTTGCTGGCCACTTGCAGGGTGTGGTGATGGTAATCTCAGTGGCTCAGGAGGCTGAGGCAGGAGGATGATGGCAAGTTCGAGGCCAGGCTCAGCAACTTAGGGAGACCCTGTCTCAAAATAAATAAAAAGAGCTGGGGGTGTGGATAGTGGTAGAGCACCCCTGGGTTCAATCCCCAGTTTAAAAACTGAGGGTCTCTAAGAGCCCTTGCATCTCAAAACCACAGCCGCAGCCAGGCTGATTCTACCAACTGCAGAGTGGCCGAGGTGATTGTGGCCGAGGTGCCAGCACACAGGCACTGCTTACTCACATGGCATTGAGATGTGTCTCCAAGGAGCCCAGGGAATATAAGTTAGCCCTGCAAAAGGCTTGGATCATTGGAAAAGTATCTCTATCAAGCGTCCAACACTGTCTTCAGTTTTGTGGTCTAAGAAGTTAATGGGAAAGAAATCGGGCCACTAAATGCCAACCCTGCCTCTGCTTTGGAGTGGCTGTAAGTTCACCGCTGCTCACCCCCGGGAGGAAGGACACAATGCTGCAGTTTGAGCAGGCACAGGACCAGCGGAGAGACAGAGCACTGGCCAGGCATGCACAGGGTGCCCCCCTCAGCACCCTAGACAACAAAAATAAGTGGTTTTGAAAAAAATGTTCTTATTTTATAAATATATGTGAGAGTAGAAGAAAAACCTGGGTGTAAAAACATGATCAGTTTAATAGTAATTTTCTCTGGTGTAATTACATTTGAGTTTTTTCTGAATATTTTTCTATAATTTAAGATGATAAGTTAAGGCTAATTAAGGCTAATCTAAGATAATAGAAAAATACTCTCAAAATGACCTTTTTATAAAGCTTATGTAGTTTATAACTGGAAGAAGCTATACACCATTTCCATTTGTGGTGGAAGTGGTTGGGGATTTTGGTGTGTGTGTGTGTGTGTGTGTGTGTGTGGTCCTGGGGACTGCCCCCCCTCCCAGGGGTGGGGGGGTGCTTTACCACTGAGCTATATCCCCAGGCCTTTTAAAAAAAATTTTATTCCAAGATAGGGTCTAGATGAATAGCTGAGCCTTGCCCCAAATTTGAATCCTCAGGCCTCAGCCTCCCAAGTGGTGGGGGTTGTGGGCTGCACCACATGCCTGGCCTGTGCTTTAGTTTATAATAGATGACTGTGGGCTGACTAGTCGGCTCCGAAGCAAGGGCCCCCAAGGCGGTACTGATTCCTTGCTTTGCTAGACTCTTTGTGAGCCAGTTCTCAGTTCCTGTTTCATGAGGCGGAGAGAACAGACCCCTCCAGATGTCCCCGCCCTGTACTGAGCTGGTGGTAGAGATGCAGGGAGTCAGATCTGATGGACATCCTGGCCCCAGGAAGGCCACTGCTCCAGAGGCTGGGTGTAGAGGAGACCCAGTGAGGGCCACATCAGGTTCTGCCTTGAGCTAATGAGTCGTGATATATTGTTGTTGCTGTTGTTAACGATTCTTCCAGTGTGAGTCTTCTGACCCTTTATTAGTAAATTACACCTCAGAAATCCTACTGTCTCTGTTTAATGAATGAATCTTGGCTTTGGTACCAGTAGATTTATGTCCCTAGTGAAGCTGAATTGGAAAATGCTGAACTGCTCCACTAACTCCCAGTGTTTATCATGGCTTGCAGATGGAAGGAGGTACTGGTGTACCAAACAGTTGTAGCTCCTGAACATCACTGGGCACGGTGGCACACCCCTGTCATCCCAGCGACTCGGGAGACTGAGGCAGGAGGATTGCGAGTTCCAGGCCAGCCTGGGCAACTTAACAAGACCCTGTCTCAAAATAAAAAGGGGACTGGGGATGTGGCTCAGTGGTCAAGTGTCCCAGGTTCAAACTCCAGTACCAAAAAAATTAATAAGTAAATTAAAAAAAAATGAATCCTGTACATTTCCAGGAAGACAAAATGTTTTTAATGTTGGGGTGACCCCAGGGCTGGCCTGTGCCGGGCGAGCGCTCTGTCTCTGAGCGACAGCCCTGTCTGGAGCTTTCTCACCCAGCACAGGTGAAGTCTGTGTCTCTTGCTCTCCAGGTGGCTGCGGACCATCTCCATCATCCTGTTCCTGAACAAACAGGACATGCTGGCGGAAAAAGTCCTAGCGGGGAAATCGAAGATTGAAGACTATTTCCCAGAGTATGCCAACTACACCGTCCCCGAAGACGGTAAGGCTCCAGCAGGTCCTTGGACGGAAGAGTGACGACTTCTCTGGTCCAGTCATTCAAACACCTCCTGAACTAAGACGCCCACCAGTCCCCATCAGCCCTCTCCTCTAGCGCCATCTGAAGTGCTGGCACACAGGCTCAGCACCCTTACCCAGGGACAGGACAGAGGTGCTTCAGACCACAGGGGCTTTATGATTTGGGGATGTTTGCACCTCCATAATGAGATGGGCCTGGGTCTGACCGTGGAACTCATTGCTTCATGTCCACCTTACACCGTGGATTGAGGTGAGGTTGCAGGTTTGTAGCACACCTGTGTTCTGGCTGTTACTGTCACTTGAGGTCAGATGTGTAATACTCCACTTGTGTCATGTTGATGCTCAAAAAGCTTCGGATTTGGGGCATCTCAGGACACTTGACCTGTATTACAATGTCTGGCTTAGGATCCACTTGTAAGTGGTTCACACTCCCGTGCAACACAGGGAAGGGCCATTGGGCAGTGGTGCAGCCTGTTACCCCAGTGGCTTGGGAGGCTGAGGCAGGAGGATCACAAGTTCAAAGCCAGCCTCAGCAATGGTGAGGCCCTAAGCAACTCAGTGAGACCCTGTCTTTAAATAAAATACAAAATAGGGCTGGGGGTGTGGCTCGGTGGTTGAGTGCTCCTGAGTTCAATCTCCAGTACCCCCCCCCAAAAAAAAGAAGAAAGGACCATTGTGGGGGGGGGGGTATGAATGTGTCACTGGCTGAGTAAGTTCTGCCTCTGGGCCCCTCTTGGGGTCTGTGTGGCTGGGAGCCTTCCTCCTTCCTGGGAGCTGAGGTGGTGCTTCCTATTATTTTACCATGGAATGTGAGGCTGACAGAGGTGGCAGCATGCTCAAGGCCACACACCGGGGGCCTGCGTGGGCAGCACACACTTTGAACCCTGGTCCACAGCCGGCTCGGCCAGCCTCCCTGTGCTGCCCTTGGCTACGCCCATCGAGTTCCCCTGGGGGGACCATCCATCCACCTGAGCTGGCAGGGCTGAGCATCCAGGCAGGAAGGTCACTAGGAAGGGCTGGTCACTGTGCTTCAGTGTCAGCAAGCACCCGGGTGATTTGTCACAGGCAGAATGACATCATTTCTCAACATCTGAAGCCCAAATTAGATAAAGCCAAATGAAAGGGACTCTCCTGCAGACCAGCTCAGGTTTGGGGGATTTATTTTCTATCATCAGTGAAGAGGGGAAGGAAATTTGGGATTTGTAATTAACTTTCCTGCTCTTTGTGTTCAATTTTCTCTTCCCCATAATGGCAGAGCCCCTGACTAGCACAGTCAGAGCAAGACCTGAACCACCCTGGATGTGCTGGCCAAGGGCAGGAGCTCGAGGGTTCCTTGCAGGGTGAACAGCCCTGGAAGTGGCCTGGGACCTAGGCCTGCGGGGCCGCCCAGGCCCTCCTTCGTCAGCAAGCATTCCTCCTCTCCTTGCTAAAGCTCACAGCGGGCCGGGCTGCCTGCCTCAGGGGACCCACGGGGCTGCTGGTGCCCCGTACTGCTGGCCTTGCCACCTCCACATCAGCTTCTTCCTTCCTTCTGCCCTCACGTCCTCGGTCCAGGTCCTCACTCTCCTTGTCTCAGAGACTGCCACAGCTTCTTCCCTGGCCTCCTGTATCCTTCCAGAACATTCTCTGAAATTCTGCCAAGCCATCTTCCTTTAATCCCCACCACCACCACACTTACGCTCCCTCTAAGGGGCACCGTGGCCACTGGCTTAACTGCATTGCAAGCCAGGGCCAACCCGCCCCAGCCAGGGGATGGACAGGGCCAGTGGCTCAGGCCCAGTGACAGCCACACCTGGGCACTGCGTCACATTCCCCTGGACCTCCCAGGGCACCCACCTGTCCCTGGCATCGGTGCACCCGATGGTGGCCTGGCTTGCGTCCTCCTCCTCGGCCTCAACTGTGGCCATGAGAAGGAATAGAGTGTCTGCAGGCGCACGAGGGCCACAGACATAGGGAGGGTTTCCTTCTGCGCATCCAACCAGCTGGGCAGTGCTCCTCCATGCTACATCCCCAGTGCCTAGGGTCACGTGGGATTGGAAGCTCTCAGTGATGCCCCACACAGCTGGGCTGAGAGCAGGGGGTGCTGCCCTCTCTGCCTGCTACACCGACATGGCCTGCCCAGCCCTCCCTCCAGCCAAGCCTGGCCGGTCTGGAGAGCAGGCCTGCCATCCCACTCCCAGGAGAGTGGCCATGTCCTCACGGACCCTCAGTAGAGAAGGCAGAGTGGTGAGCCCACCTGTGCAGCCTGAGTTGCAGGAGAACAGATGTCCCGAGTGCAGAAAATGGGGGACCAGTCCCAGGACCACAGACCGTTTCAGGAGGACCCCGGGGCCAGAGTGCCCGCTGTAGCCCCCCTCCCTCCACCCCTCAGAGCAGGGCTGATGGAAGCCAGCTGCAGTCACACCAGCAGCCAGTGCCAACCCTCGCCCCAGAAGGCCCAGGGCTGCCAGTCTTCCTGTCTGAGCAGGCCTGCGGGCAGAGCCGGCTCTGGAGCTGTGGTCAGCATGCACGGAGGTGCGCCCGTTTTATCTGAGTGGAGAGTATCTATCTCCCTCAGCCCATTTTGGCTGCTATGACAAGATACCTGAGACTGTGTGGTTTATAAACATCAGGAATTTCCTGCTCCCTGTACTGGAGGCTGGGAAGCAGCAGATTTGGGGTCTCTGCTTCACAGATGGTGCCTCTGACTGCATCCTCACACAGTGGAAGGTGTGCCCAACCTCCCTGGGTCTTGAGCCCACCTGACCTAATGGCCTTCCAAAGGACCGACCTTTTGAGCTTTGAGAGAACTTGGGAGGGACACACACTTTCAGGCCACAGCCCTGCCAAAGAATGCCTTGTCAGAGGCCCAAGAACGACATGTCAATGATCTGGGGGAGAAGGAAAGAGCCTTCTGTTGGCGTGGTGGACGCGGTAACCAGGGCAGCCCAGCTCCATTCCTCCTTTGTTTCCACACACTTGTCTCTTTCACCACTTAAATCTCCATTCTTAATTTCCGCAGCGACACCAGATGCAGGAGAAGACCCCAAAGTCACAAGAGCCAAGTTCTTTATCCGGGACTTGTTTTTGGTAAGCAGTATTTTCTAAGTTACGTTGTTCCTTATAATTCACAGATTCCTTAGCCTTTCATGATCTCACTGAGTCTTCCCAAAAATCATGAGCCACGAGAGAATGTGTGTTCGCTCCCTTCACGGCGGCACACACTGAGAATCAGAGAGGTCAGGTTTCTCACCAGGGTAACACAGTACTCACTTGTGCTTTCTGAAAAGAACAGAACTCTCCTGCACAGGCTGCGATTCCAGCTCTCATACTTTGGTACCTCACTTTCAAAAGCAGTAACAGGAAAAATTTAACATAAAAATGGACCCGCTCAAATTAAGATATTTTCTTTTTTCTTCATCTTCAACTCTTTGAGATCCTTGCAGATTTACATAAAACATGGAAAAAATGCAAATAATTCCCATCTACTCTATGCAAATTGACCCCAGATTGATAAAATTTTTGCCGAATTTGCTGTTTCTATGTATATATGTCTACATTTTTTTTTTTCTCTCTTGAATAACCTACAGCTGGCTGTGAGTTTTCCCTGGCTTGGAACTAGTGACTCACAAGGAATGCCAAGGGCATGTTCCTGGTGAGACTGCAGGTGCACATGACAGGTGCAGTGGACCTTGTCTCTTGGACAAGTCAGTTTCTTAGCCCAGCCAGCGCAGGAGTGGCCCTTGGGCCATGGTTCAGCTCTCCTGCCTGCCCCCCTTGCCATCACACCCCAAGGGCAGGTTGCCTTTTGAGTCCTACACTGATTTAGAAAGTAAGGATCGTAAGAAATCCATGCCCGGAGAGATGAAGAGTTCTCCAGGAAGTGAACAGGCAGTACCAGAAAATCTTCTGCAAGTACATAAATCTGGGGCCTGCTGCTGCTCTGAATCCACAGCAGGTGTTTGGTGGTCAGATTCCCAGAGCCTCCCTACACGGGGACATTCTGGAAACATCTTCAATAAGAGAATTCAGTTCCTAGCAGATCCAGGGATTCTTTGTTTGAGGAGCACCTTGTAAGACCTCAAAATATAAGACACATTAGAAAGTGCCCCATGAAACACTACTCTAATCAGAATGAAATGTTAATTAAGTATGAAAATGTCGGGCATTGAGATGAAGGTTATAAAAGCCAGGTGGGGTGGTACACACTTGTAATTCAGCTACTTGGGAGGCGGAGGCAGGAGTGCGGCATGTTCGAGGCCAGCCTCAGGAACTTAGTGAGACCCTGTCTCAGAATTTTAAAAAACATTTTAAATGGCAGGGTTGATGCTCAGGGGCAGAGCACGGGCCTAGCAGGCTCTGTGTTCTATCCACAGTGCCAAAGACAAACTACGCCATCCCCCAAATAAGGGGCATTCAGACCTTGTCTGGACAAATCTTTCCTTCCTTGGAAAGGGAAAAAACCTAGCCGGGTGCAGTGGCTCACGCCTGAAATCCCAATGACTCAGGAGGCTGAGGCAGGAGGATCATGAGTTCAAAGCTGACCTCAGCAAAAGTGAGGCACTAAGCAACTCAGTGAAGACCCTGTCTCGAAAAAAAATTCGAAATAGGGCTTGGGATGTGGCTCAGTGGTTGAGTGCCCCTGAGTTCAATTCCCAGTAATTGTTCCCCCCCAAAAAAATCAGCTTCGACTGGCAGCCTTAGGTTCTAAGGCCCAATGAACCATAAACTTCTAGTCCTACTAGAAGTCCTCTGGGAATGACAGAGGAGCAAGGGGCTTAGTGGCAGGAAGTCCACTTTGAGAGCCAGCTGCGCGCCCAGTGAGCATCCTCCTTAGATGCACTTTACAGTCATTGCCTAAGGAGGGTACTGACCACCAGGGTGAGTCTCCGACAAGGCCCTTCCTCCCATAGGGTCAGCTGGAACCATCTCCACAGGCAGGAAGAACTTGGAGCTGGGGGAGCCAGGAGTGGGAGAGGCAGGTGTCCCCCAGGGTCCTGCCCGTCACTGGGAACAATCCTGTCCCTCAGACTGGAAACCAGCTGGGAGCGCCAAGTCAGAGCTGGACTGGCCTCCCAGTGGTCCAGCTAAGATGGTGGCTGTGGGGTGGACAGCTGCATCCTGGCACCCCAGCACCATGGCAGTCTTCCTGCCTCCTAGGTGACTGCCTGGTGCTTCACCAGCTCCCCTGAGCCTTCCTTCACCTTGACCACCGTCTCCTAAGAGAGGGCCCCAGGCCTGCAGAGAGCCGGGGACTGCCAGTTCTCCTTGACCAGTTACCACCCTCGTGCTTAGTGAAAGCCAGTGATCAAAGGAGGTGTGCTGCAAGGAGAACTGTGCGAGATTTGCAAGTTGCAACAACCTTTGTAATGTCTCCTTACCCCAGTTTTTTCATTGCCCTGGGACAGGACCAGCTAGTCTGGTGGTTACAGAAAACAGCCTTCTTTTGATTCATTCTCGATGCACTTACGCTGCGTGCACCCATAGCTCACCTGGTGCTTTAAAGCACAAAGGATATTTAACCAACCAGATGTGGTGATGCACACCTGTCATCCAGGTGGCTGGGGAGACAAGCAGGCAGATGGCACGTGGGAGGCCAGCCTCAGCAACTTAGGCAGACCCTGTCTCAAAGTAAAAATTGTTTAAAAAGGCTAGGGATGTGGCCCAGAGGCAGAGTGGATTCAATCCCCAGCACTGCCCACGTGCACACACAGACACAAACACACACAACTTCCTTGGTTTTGGTGTTCCCAAGTTTAAAAATGAAAAATAGGGGCTATGGGTGTAGCTCATTGGTAAGGCACTAGTTCCACTCCCGGCACATTAAAAAAAAAAAAAAAAGTTCAAGAGAAGCCAGACTTGTGCTCAAATTTAGTCTAAACCCACCCCACCCACCCACCCACCCACTGGAGGAGTCACAGAGCCTGACAGGGGAGGGGCAGGAGGCGCAGGGATTCTTGAGGAGTCCCAGCAGTCCTGGGCTGCCAGAGCCTGAACAGCAGGTCTCCAAACACTGCTGGAGGCCAGAGCTTTGAAGTCCCCCTGCTTCCTCCTGAGGCCTCTCTGCCTGGCTTGCAGCCGGCCACCTCCTCCTCATTGTGGACTCCCTGTGTCTGTGTCCTAATCTCTTCTTGGGAGCACACCAGTTGTGCCGGTTCAGACTTCAGATTCAGCCACAGCCCATTTCTCACCCACGCAGCTTCAGAGTGTGCATGAGCCTGTCACTCTAGGACCTCCTCAGGCATCATGATCAGGGATCTTTAACCTGCATCCCCCAAGTTACTGGACAACAGGGTGCTGTGCTCCTAGACTGCCAGGAGACATTCCACTGCCAGCCCAGGGCACCCTCAGCAAGTGCTGAAGACCATCTGGGAGCAGGAGTCCCTGTGACCAGTGCCTTGCCCACTGCTGGACCGCCAGTCACACCAGATGTTTAATAAGCTTATTAAAAGTGCATCAGCTAAGGCCAGTCCCTGGGTTGCACCGTGAGCAGTAGACAGGACAGAGGAGAACGTGATGTGTGTTCCAGCACACCATGCTTAGGTGCCCATTTCTGGAAACCTTAGCCTGCCTCTCCTGAGGCTGGCCAGCACCTGTGTGCTGTCTCTCCAGCTCAGCAGGGATCACCTGTGGGCAGAGGTAAGCTCCAGGTTGTCCAGGCACCTCCTGCCAGGTGCTCCCGACCCGCCCCGAGTGCATGGGCCCACCCGGCCCTCAGCCCTGGCTGTCTCTTGCAGAGGATCAGCACGGCCACTGGGGATGGCAAGCACTACTGCTACCCGCACTTCACCTGCGCCGTGGACACAGAGAACATCCGCAGGGTCTTCAACGACTGCCGTGACATCATCCAGAGGATGCACCTCAAGCAGTATGAACTCTTGTGAGGCCCACTGTCCCCGTCCCTCTGCTGCCCCCATCCCTCTCGCCACCCCAACGAGTGGCCAGACTGCGTGTTCATCCACCCAAGCCATGGTAGGGTGTAGTGAGTGTCTAGTCCCCTCTGGCTGCTGTCTGTCCTGCCCTGGGAGTGCCCCACCAAGCCTCTGGCTACCTCCACCCCCCAGGTTTAGTTCTGTTGCTTGGTTTTCACTGAACACAACCTCCACCCCCAGATTTGCATTGCTGCAGAACCTCCCACTCACCCATCGATGCTGCAGGGAGCCCTCTCTGGGTGGGGACCCCTGTCACACACTTGCCGACTGACTCACCAAGACCCTGTAGGTAGATGGAGAAAGTGCTTTTTTTTTCCCTTCTTCAAGTTATTCAGCATGATTGCAAAGGCATATGCAAAGTGCCCCAAGCCAGGGGCCTCTGATTTCCCTTGAGGAAGGCCAGCAGGTGGCTGGCCCAAGGCATGGAGGAGACCCTGAGCAACCAAGCAGAGATTTTTTTTTCTTTTTTGGCAGTACTAGGGATTGATTGATTCCAGGGGTGCTCTACCACTGAGCTACACCCCCAGCTCTCTTTATTTTTTTTCTTAATTCTGAGACAGGGTCTCACTAAGTTGCTGAGGCTGGCCTTGAACTTGCAATCCTCTGGCCTCGGCCTCCATCACACCCAGCTGAGAAGCCCTTTTTCAGTCTCCTTTGCCCTTGCTGCCAGCCTCAGGCACTTGAATTAGAGCTCCTCTGAGCCTTTGGTATTTAGGCAGAACACCTGCCACATTCACTATTAGAAAACCTGTCCTGTCTGGAAAAAAGATCCCTTATGCTTTCACTATATTTGGGTGGAGTCTTCTTTCATATATTCCTTTCACTGTTGGTTTATTGCTGGTTTATTACACTGTACAGACCACAAAATGTAATATTCTTTTGTATCACTACTAAAGAAAACTCCTTGTAGATTTTTGTGCCTTGGATGATGGTTCTCCCTGTAAAGGACCTGTGTTTCAGTCGTGCTGATCAGCCTGATGTCATCCTGACCTGCCGCTTCCTCCATAAGAGGGAACGAATGGTATCTGTAGCTTTGGCGACATTCTCATCAGCCTGGGACTTTGTAAGATATCCCTTGGTTCCAAGAAATTGTGAATTATATGTCATCCTCAACAACAATGTTGTCCCAACACTGCCTCAGCCACCTGCCTGTGCTTCTCTGGGTCTCAGTTGCAAAATCCTGAACTCCCTTCTGCGGTACAGATCACAACATCATCTTTCCAAGAGCTAGGGATTTATTTTTCCTTCCCAGTCAATGTTTTTTGATTACTTTGCTAGTTAAAGACTCCTTCAAGTTCCCCAGGTAGGAACAGGACCACCATCCCCATAGCCAAAGCTTTGGGCATAGACTCCACCAGGCGAGTAAACAGATAACAAGAGAAAAGCAAAGTGGAATCTGTGTTTGCGTCCAGATGAGGAGGAAAAGGGTTGCATCTTCATTTGTCTTGTGAAGATGAAACATTATAAAATCTTTTTTTAAAATCATTTTTATTTGCAATGCTGGGGATGGAAGCCGGGACCTTGTCCTGCCAGGCAGGTGCTCTCCCACTAAGCTACACCCCACCCCACAGAACCTTTATTTGAAATATGAAGGCAGAACGTATGGCTGTTGTGCAAGACTCTCAAATGCAGCCTCAAGAGCTACATCCTGGCACGACCCCTAAGAAGGCTCAATCGCTGCGGGAATGGTGCTTCAGTTCCATCCACAGCCACAGGTTTGGTTTTCTCGGTCGTCCTACAACAATCTGTAAAGATGTCCAGAACTGAACTTTCAACAGTACCGGTCCAGAGAAGGGACAGCCTATGTCAGTTCATTATTTTTCTTTTAGTCTTTAATATATTCAAGTACACTCTGTGGATCAGCATTCTATGATCATGTAGGAATTCAACCAGATTTAGATGTCACTTCCCATGGACCATGACAGCTTCCCAAATAGGCTGTCTATCTCATCATCCCCATCTGATTCCCGACGGTGGCCTAAGACGCAGTGGAACTGAAATGGAGATGGTCTCAGGTCCCCTTCTACTTTCGCAGGGGAGGAAGAAAACTGAAGAGATACACATCCACCAAAAACAAGTAAAAATGTAGAAGGCTGTCCTCTCCTTACAACTCTACAACTCCTTACCACTAGGCAACTCCCCTGACCAAGTATGACTTAGGAACTGGAGAGGGCAGGGGTGTGGCTCAGGGTGCAGTCCCCAGCACCACCCCAAATAAAAAAACAAAAGCTGGATTAAAAAACAGAGCCAGACTCTTAGGAAACAAAAACAAGGAGACATGACATCTGACTTGAAATTATCAAAATATTCATTTTTAATACTAACAGCCATATATCAGCATTCCATTTTTTTCAATTTTTGATCATTAACAGGCATTGAATTCAGATGTAAGAACATGGTCTCCTAGACAGAAAATCTACTCACCTAAAACTGATTCTATTAGTTTCTCATAGAAGTACAGAAGTCTGTAAGAATCAACCATGTGCCCCCACACATCGCATCTGTAGTTCTAAGTGTAGGGCTTCATAGGACGTAGGAATTTGAGAGCCACTTCACAGAAGGACAGAAGCACACCCAATGTTCATGTGCCCGTGTCAGCCTGAGCGTGCACCAGGGCACGGGTGCTTCCTGGGGAGCAGGGTGGTGCATCATGCAAGGAGCGGTATCGGGCACCTCTGTGCTGGGCAGATGCCACCTCCGATCGCACGTACGTTGGGTAAGCAGGCTGTTATAGAGTACGTGTTCCATTTTTATCGCATGAGGACCATCAGCGGTTTATTCCTCAGTCACTCCTCAGAGGTTCAGCCCTCCCCTGACGTGCGCAGGCCCATAGCCAGCCTGGCTGGCCTGAGCCCCATGAGTCCTGCAGGAGCTGGGTCTTTGGCTTGGCACTCGCTATGGCACACAGCCAGCACCGCTCTTCACCGGGCCATGTGCATTCTGAGCAGGGTCCAAACGGAAAGGAAAGGCGAGGCTAGGCACTCCAGGCGGGCGAAGGTGAGGACCACCAGGAGCCCTGCGGCTGCGCAGTACGTGCTCAGAACTGTGCCCTCCAGGGGGAGGAAGCACTTGGAGAGGGCATGGTCTCTGGGCGTGAAGCTGCCCTGGAAAAAAAAATAGGAAGGTACTCTTTCTGCAGAGGACTAGCACAGCAGCCCGACTTAGCGCCAGAGGAAAGTCTGCCCTGAAGGGGTCCCTTGGTGAGGCTGGGGCAGCCCTCCCACCCGAGACCAAGTGGTCAGGGCCTTCGGCCTGCGCTGCCTCCACCTGCCCACACAGGCACTGGCAAGAGGAGGTGACGCAGGCGTGCCTGGGGGAGGGGACTGCGATGCGGATGGATCTGCCATTCGCACTCACCCCGGCGCTGGGGGCTCCCACCAAAGAGTGGGGAGCGCCTGACAGAGATTCAGAGCGTGTCAGAGACCAGGGAGCAATGGTCAGCGAGGAACAGGCAGATAAGGGTGTTCCCATGCCACTCCATGCCCACACACGCATGCCCACACCTGTCCACAGGCTACTCTCTGTTTTTGCGGTGCTAGGGATAGAAGCCAGGGCCTTGTCATGCCAGGCCAGCGCTCCGCCCCTGAGTCACATCCCGGCCCCCACGGGCTTCCCCTGGTCGCCAGTGCACAGTGTGGAAGGACAGTGGAGAACGTTTTCATACACTGGGAATTTGACAATACTAGGGTCCCCCACCTTTCTTGAAGTAAAGCACCTGCCACAAAAGCATCCGTGAGCCAGGCGCAGGATCCCATGACCAAAATCAGGGTGTGGTCGCTCCAGCCGTCACTGATGGACCAACACTGTCCATCAGCCGCAGACACGGCAGCACTGTCTGCTGGGGCAAACGAGTGCGTTTGCAGAATGAGACAATCGAGTGTTGGTGACAAGTGACATGATCTTGCCTCCTTAGAAAATGTCACACTCAGAGTGTGACATGGGCAGACACTGCCCTCTGCACGGGGCAAGGCACACCCAGGAGATGCTGCTTGCGGTAACTGCCCCAGGACCCAGCTCTGCTCATCTGTTCCCACGCAGCTGCTGGGACACGGGAGAGTGACACACCATGGTGTGTAGGAGGCTCACTGATTTCTGGCTTTTGTACCTTCTTACAGATTGCAGCAATTAAATAGTTGATTACTGTGTTGACTTATATACCTATGAAAGCTTTCAGATGAAAATAAACTTTCACGTTACCATGATGAAACTGGGGTTGTTTCTGTTCCGCCAGCTGAAAGACGGGACACTGATCTCGGGGACGCCCCCGCGGTGCAGCACCTCACAGGCGCTGTGCGTGTGGCCACTCAGGATCAGGCGTGGACGGAACCACCACAGCAGCTGGACCCAGGGGACAGACAGTTAGCGCTTACTCCGCGTGGACCCCCCCCCCCCCGCCCGGGGCCACCATATACTGAGCTAAACACCCAGTTGCTACAGAGGATAGGCTTATTTTCTCCTCCAAAAATAATCTTGTTTATAAAAAGTAAGGTTTGTTAATACCCAGCCTCCTAGACTCTACTCTTCTCACCCCAGACTTTACATGTTTTATTTTTATAAACATTTTTACCAATTTATTTCATATTTCCATAAATATATTTTAAATAGAAATTCATTCACTTTCAAGTATAAATATGAATCTTATATTTCATTATCTATAAATGCTATTTATGTCTATATTTGTTATATATATATTTAAGAAAGTGCATTTTTAATTAAGATCCTAAAATTTTGACTCTAAGTGCCCTTTACACTCCAAAATCCATTTAAGTTTATGAGAATGACTGCAAACAATAGCCGAGAATGTTACAATGTTCCCAAATGGAGAAAGGAGAAAGCGACTGCGAGTCCTCCAGAGGCCCCCAGTCCTGTGCCCCCGCCCCCACCCGGGTGCCTCCCACCCCTGAATAGCCACGATGCACGGGGTAGGAAAGCAGGGCCACCCTGGCATGGGGTCCACCCACTGGCACACCTTCTGTGAGGCCTCCCGAGAAAGCACGTCGTACTTCTCCTGGAAAGGGATGTTCCTCTCCTCCGGAGGAGCCGCATCTTCCCCAGAGCAGTTGGCATCGCTGGCGCGATACAGCGGGTAGTGCTGCCAGGACCCGAAGATGAGATGGATATAACTTCAGGAACCCCAGGTGGCTTTGCCCAGCCCGGCTCCCACTGCCCCAGCTCACCTGCAGGAGGATGGGGGCGGAGGCAGGGAGCTGCTGCCCACCCGCACACTGGCTGGAGCCCGGCACCTGCTGGTCAGAGGTCAGCCGTTAACCCAGCGCACCTGGCCCGCGGCAGGAAGGGAAGGGGGAGCCCAGCGGCGGCAGGAGCACAGGCCTGTGCCCGAGGACCTCTCCTACCTCCCGGGAGCAATTCAGTCTGCGAGAGACTTCAGTGAGTTCAGCCTCTACTTCAGAACAGATGCCGCAGCCGTCCCCTTCCAGCGCCACACTGTTGACCATCACAAAACTGAGGCAGACAGGGTGGGCAGGTCAGGCCACGGCCACACAGGCCTGAGCTCCTCTCCCCATCGTTCCTCAAGTACCACTGAGCATCATGGTGGGAAGAACCAAGCCAGGTCACTTCCAAGTCCTGCCCTCAAGACTCAGCAAAAGGATTTTTAACCATAAACTAGTAGGAAATCCCAGACGGCAGAAGCTCTGAGCTCAGGCTGCCAGCCTGCTTGACATCTAGCCAGAAAGGCGTGTCCCTGTGTGAGTTACTTAGCCCCTCTGTGCCTCACCTGTCATGGTGGGGTGAGAACAGTAAACCCTCCCATCAGTAGGTCCATAGACTTAGAGACCTCCCCCTCTCCGTGTTCACTCAGCAGGTGGCAAGGGGTACAGGTGCTACCTGCAGCTGGCAGGGCTGGGTATTGCCGAGCCTAGACAAGGCCACCCCTCCATGGCTCCTGCACCTACAGACTCCCACGGACTTGCTTTATCTCCCATGCGTTCACCACCTGGGCATGGAAAAGGGGCCTGTAAGGAATGACTCTGAAACTCAAACAATGAGGCCGAAACATGAGGAGGGTGTTTAAAGTTTCTGAATCACCAACGGGTACTGTGTCTCCACGGAGGCACAGCAAAGGAAGCTACCTGCTAAGGCTGGTCCAGATGTTGGCACTGGAGTGGTCTTGCAGAGGGCCGCAATGTGAATGGCCAGGCTCAGTGTTGGGAAGCTCGGTCTAAAAGCCAAGGCTCATGGGAGCTGCAGGAGTGCCCCCAACACACCAAGTCCCAAGACTCCATGATGATGGACGTGAAATAAAGACACCTTTGTGAACGGCCGGTGAAATGCAGGGACACTGCACCCACAGCCAGGGAGGAGTTGAGGACTGGCCATTCGCTCTGGGTTGCTAGGTAAAACCTGGGTGGTGTGAGGTCTCCTGTCAACTCCGGGGTAACCAGTGGCCAGGACTAGTCCCACAGAGGGACCCTTATCTAAGATACCAGTCCAACAGAACATGGGTCTAACTGAACATGGTAATCACCTCCAAAAAGGAAGTCTGCAGACTAGGAGTGTAGCTGAGAGGTAGAGCTTGCTATGAGCAGGCCAGAGGCCCTGGGCTGGGCCCCAACACCAGGAGGGAGGAGGGGGGAGGGGACAGGGAAGAGGGGGGAGGGGACAGGGAAGAGGGGGGAGGG